ACATGGGTTTGGCACACACACAGTTTTACACCGATCGACTTCAAAATTTAAGATGGCGAGCAGTGTATAAACTGTTGCACGTCCAATCAGACGACACCTCGCCCTGTGTTTAAAGCCATACCAGCCAAGACTGGCATGGCTGATTGGACGTGCAACAGTTTATAGGTCCAATCAGACGACACCTTGTCTTGGCTAGCATGGCTATAAACACAGGGCTAGGGTTCGGAGAATGCTAGTAGGCGAAACGCAAGGCTCTACGCGTTGTGCAGTGTAGCGTTGCAAGAGCAAGCTGCGTATCATTCTAAGATTTACTGCCACATACGGGCTACTACCACCCGCCCGACGGCCGCAGACCAAGATTGAGAATGCGCCTGTCTGCTCGGTCCTGCAGATAGACGAGGCACGGTGTCGGCTCTCTGTGGCCGTCCACATGCGCGCCATCTTGTCTCATATCGCAGTCCACTGCAGGGTGATAGGCAGCGTTGAATCTCTCGCATCGTTTTGGATCTGCTGCGTGCATGACCAGATTGCGACAGTCGCGCGTTGCTACGCACTCGGATGTAGCCACTCGATCCTTGGTGCTCACTTTGCACTTTGCTCGCAACCACCACAGCAACCAGAAGATAACAACAATCATGGTCGGACTGCTCTCGACGATGGTGATGACGCTCGCGACGACTGCATTTGCCCAGATGGGCGGCTGGGCGCCCGTGACCGACCCGAGTGTCCAGACGGCGCTCACGGCCATTGTCTCCGACCCCGCCAACTACCCCAATACCACCACGCGTCTCTGCGCCACCGACGTGGCGTGGGCCACACAGCAAGTCGTTGCTGGCGTCCAGTACCACGTTGGCGTCCACGGGTGCGCGACGACCGCGACCTCCAACTGCTCGTGCAATGGCCAGCGCCACGCGTATATGGTGACGGTGCTCGAGGCCATCAACGAGCCCGTGCGCATCACAGACGTTGTGTCCACTGTCGAGACGGGTCTTGTTGGCGGCGTCACGGCGCCGGCCCCCGCGACGGCGGACGACAAGCTGCTGTACGTGCGCGCCGTGACCAAGGACGCCAACTTTGCGTCGGCGAGCGTGCCCCGTGTGTGCCCCGTGCAGTTTGTGTCCGTGGCCAAGCAGGTCGTGAGCGGCATCAAGTACATTTTTATCGTGCGGGGCTGTCCTCTCGTGCCCGCGGGTCCGCTCAACAATGTATTTGACTGCGCGTGCGAGGCGCCCAAGACGTACCGCGTCGAGATCTACGAAGATGCGACGCGCCGCATTCAGGTCACAAAGGCCGTCGTGCAGACCTAATTCTAAAAATTCAACGGTTATATTGTATGGCAGGACGTTGGTTTGTGTGTTTGTTTGGGTAGCACTATACCCGGAAACACTTTCATGTTGCAATCGCTTTGCTAGACGGGGAAGGTGGTGTATAGTGCTCAGAGCTTGGCAACCTCGTGGTCATGGCAGACTTACTTGTTTGGCCATCAACGACAAAGGGAGCCCTCCAGAACACGAACTCGGACGTAGCTTGCGATTAATAACGGTGTTTATACCGAAGGGCTACGAGATGAAAACATTAACCGCTTCTTTACTGCATAATAGCAGGGCTGCTTTGGTGAAAATATGCATACAACGGTCGCTCTAGTTGTCAATTCGACACCACACCCAGCTTTTTATACTCTATAGATGGAGCCAAAAACAGCATAACGTTACTAGTATAGCACAGTGCTGCTAGAGAAGACCAAACGATCACAACGGTCGGTAACTGTTACTAGTGGATGCACCGGCGTCATACACAAACAAATATTTAGAATGTGTCACCCATGAGCGCCTTGTGGTTGGGCGACATTAACAAACACGAGTGAACATGTCGTCGACGGTTCCTCCTGTAGCGCCAAGCAACCACGGTTCAAACATGTACCTTTGGTGTTATCTGATTCGTCTTACAGACGCTTCAGTCCAGCCGTGCACTTTTGCGCTTCGGAATGATACACAAGAGCAGATCAGCAAATTGGTCGATCGACACAGACCTCCCATGATCGTACAAGTTGTCTCTTCGGCAAAGCTCGCCGCTGCCAGAGACATATCTCTGTGGACATGAAACGGTTTGCGGTTTCAAGTGCGTCAATGCCGTCCGTCAGCGTGTCCGACTTTGTACAAAAAACGGCTATCCCGGCCGTGCCTCTGTTGAAAATATAGTTTGATGACGCCTTCGGTCGACCGTGCGCCACCACCTGTTGCAAGGCCTGTGGCCATTTTGGATGCCCAGTCCATGTACTCGTACCGAAAAGAAGACGGGTTGCGAGCAAGTTTTTGTTTGGAAGCGTCCCGATACCCATGTCGTCCCAGCGCGAGCGATACCGCACCTACTACTACCGCCATCGCAGCACGATTCTCGAGCGCATGCGCAGTCGGTACGCCGACAACCGAGACAAAGAGCAGGATCGGCAGCGCGACAAGTACTTGCGTCTTAAGGCGCGCAAGGAGCGGCAGGCAGCGTCGGCGGCCCTCCGACTAGTTTTTATACTCAACGAGACACCTGCGCCGCGATTTGAGGACCGACGACTCACTTTGAACTATATCCTGAACGAATAGCATATCATAAACGCTTGAAATGCCGTGTTAGCAACATCTACACTGTCGCGCGATACCACGAGTTCGCCTGCGCGATGCGCTGTGGTTTGGTTTGGATATCATTGTCAAGCGTCCGGTGCGCCAAATGCGCCTTGCTGCTTCCCACCCTGCATCAGACGGCTGGTCGTTTTTCTATCATCGTCTGCCGATAAGAGGAAATGGTGCTTTGAGTTCTTTCACCCGTTCGCATGCTATAAATGTCAACCCACTTCAACGACAAACAATGAGCAGCCAACCCTACATCGTCCCATCTCATAGAAGAACCCGAGCCGCCTACATCACAGGATGACTGTGGACCACTCTGCGCACCTTTCCTACTTCCGCCTATTGTCGTTGCCCACCAAGTGTGGTGGTTGTTACGACGCAGCCCAAACCTGTTGAAAGGTCGGCCGTTAAAAACAAAAGCGACGGAATATCCAAATGCAAAATCCTTCATGCTGAAGATACGACACCACTAGACACGACGCAGCGACTTGGTCATTGCTGCATACACGTTACTTCTTGACGATGCACGAGCCATTGACCGTGCCCTTGCCACCGGCGATGCGGTAGCACTTGGTCGACGGCAGAATGGCCATGATGTTGCTCGTCATCGCGAACGAAAGCGCGCCAAAAAAGACAACAACGAGGAGGGCACCCGCGAGTTTGCTCTTGCCGCCGCGCTTCTTGAGTTCTTGCATCTGCGCCTTCTGCGGCGGGAGCATCCAGAGCCAGCCGAGCGCCGCGATCTTGCAGCCAAACGAGATGAAATAGCAGTACGTCACTTCCCAGCGAATTTCAGTCGTGTCCTTCTTGATGTCGTTGAACGACACCTTGAAGAACGAGTCGATGTACTTGTAGATGACGGACGCAAATGGACCCGCAAGGTTGGAGATCGTCGTGACGAGGCCATACGTGGCGCCTTCGTTGCCAATGTCGGCAATCTCGACGGCGCAGTACGTCGAGACGATGAAGCGGACACCGGCGGGGACGTTGTCGGCGAGCGCGACACCGGTAAAGAACCACTGGTTGCGGAAGACGTCCCAGATCGTGATGAAAAGCACAAAGCCGTCAATGAAAATGACACCGAGCGCGCCAGCCGCGATCGTGTAGCGCCAGTTCCAGTTGAGACCCCACTTGCCGACGACGACGAGAATACCGGCATAGATCAAGCTGCCAAGGACACCAGAGAGCGAGTCGTTGAGCGGCTCGACTTTGGCCCAGACGCTCTGGATCGGGCTCCCGGGCGTCGCACCAATGCCCGAGAAGCAGTTGCTAATGAAGCGGAACGCGCAGATCTGCCACATGACGCGCTGCTGGAGGAGGGTCCAGAACTGAGAGATCCACTCGCTTAGCGGCGTCCGCGGCGTCTTCTTCTCGACGACGACAAAGATGGTGGTCAGCACCACAAAGACGCACGGGACGAGACAGATGCCGAAAATGACGTTGGGGCCGACCGAGAACGTGAACGTGCCGCCGTACTCTTTGCCGTTGAGAAAGAACGCAATCACGAGCTGCGAGAGAATCCCCGTGAGCGTGCGGACCGTGTAAATCGCGGTTTGGACGCGGCCGCGGATCGCGATCGGCTCGCGCTGGGCGTACTCGACGACCATGGCGTCGGACGCGCAGGCCGCAATGACGTAGCCGAACGACACAAACATCGAGAGCAGAATGAAGAGCGAGCCGCGGTTCGGCGCGTCCAAGTCAAAGTACAAGGCGACGTCCGAGGGTTTGACGTTTTCGATCGGGAGGTTGCAGAGGTCTTTGGTGAGGCGGCGGTCGCAGTACGGCGCACCGAACGGCGAAAACGTCATGATGGCCAAGCAGAGCATCGTGATGGTCCACCCGATGAGCATCCACGACTTGCGACGGTAGCCAAAGATGGGAAAGCAGTCCGAGAGCATGCCCCAGAACACCTTGAACGACCAGCCCGTGGTGACGAGCACACCGTACGACGCGGTCTGGTACCCTTCCATGCCGAGGTAGTTGGTGTACAGCGCATACGAGAGATACGGGATCATGCCGTAGATGATGCCGATCGCACCGTACTGCGAAAAGAGACCAAACGCTTCGCGCGAGAAGAGGTGCAGCGCCCCGCCCTCGACAAGCGCACCGTCTTCGAGCTCGCCAGGCGTCTTGACGTCGGCGTACCCGTCTTTCTCGGCGTCGTGCGGCGTGACCGAGGCGATGTACGAGACGCGCTCTTCGAGGTCGAGCTTCCCCAATGGTTGCGCCATGGTCGAGTGAATTGGAAAATGAGCGTGGATGGATCGGTCAATGGCGACGGATTGCAACTCTGATCCTTTGCAGCCCTGCTCTGGCGTTGCATTGCAGCTGACTAGGATCGAGCCATGTGTAGCATCCACTTGCTTTGTGTACGATAGACCGTGTATCCTTCTGCGTGGGTGAGCGGTAGCCTCGCCGGCGTAAGTGCCCCCAGCTGTCGACGTGGGAGCTTAAGCTAAAATAGCACTCAAACTATTAGATACACGTGTGTTTGTGGTAACAACAATTAGAAAGATGATGTTGCTTTTACAATGATTGTATAGAACGGCGTGTATCACACCACCGCTTGTGCGACGCACAGCCCATTGCCACACAAAAAGTATGCCTGCGCCTGGCCATTCATTGCCGCCACGAGCTCATCAAAACCTGTCGTAGTCGTGTAGACAAGAAGCTTGAAGTAGGGGCAGGGGCGACAGCTGCTTCACAACGGCTTGCAGGACGCCTCCGCCGAAGGAACATCTCACGTGGACACTCATGTGGATGCAGCATTTGTACCTGGTTTGCCCTCGCGCATGTCGTCGCTAGTGGCACAACTGCGCGGTCAGAACTATATGGGCACGGTAACGTCAAAATAAGACCCTTCAACGCCACCTTCTTGCACAGGTCGCCTGTACAAAACGATGAGACCCATAGATGGGGGCGGCCATGTTCTCGTGACGGCCGAAGGCACCGGGTTCGCAAGATTTTATGCCCTGGTCCCAAGCAGAGTAACATGGTCGCCATGGCCGACGAGCTCGCTAAAGTCTGCTAGCCCTGTACTGTGGTCGAGCATCCAACGTGCCCCTTCAACTTTTGTCGCTGACAGCGAACGGTCCACACACATCCGCTCTGTGGCAACGTGTGTTTACGCCATCTGTTGATCCACACTGGGCAACTCTCCGATATGACGGTGATATACTAGTGAACCAGCGTCACAACGGGAGCAAAGCAGGGAGCAAAGAGTGGTTGGTTCTTGAGAAAGTGCCTTTCTTGACCACCATGTGTAGTGAGTGCATTATGGCTGGAATACTCATTCGAGCAACTTTTTAGGAAAAAATCTCATATACTGGTAATACTGATTGCAGAAATACCGAAGCCACTGAAATCGCCGTAGCCAAACGCACGACAGGCAGGACATGCCAACAGGAAGGACCCCTCCCGGTCCTATTTCGACTTGCTCGGATTTTTTCCTCAAAAGCTGCTCGGTTTTAATCACCTCCCGTCATGGCCGTAGGCTCTCAAGCGTTTTGTGATAACATTGCGTCGTTGTCGTGAGGCAAGCGAGAGTCGTCGACTAACCAGGTGTTGGCTAGCTTTCGGACGGAGAGGAATCAACAGTAGAACGATATAGCGGACCAAGCGAGCAAAACGATGCGGAAAGCTGGCAAGACAACCAGCAGGTTCATACGGTTGAAGTCCCCTCGACGACCAGCCATCGAGAAAACACCTCCTTCCTGGTTTGATCGAGGTCGAGGCACTGAATCATTGAAGATACAGGTCTTCGTCGCAAGTCTGCCGTGTTGGCCAACGTTCACAGCACCGAAACTAGTCCCGTCACCCGTTCAGGATTCGATTTCTTAGTGTAGCCCGCCGCCTTTGATCCACCTCTTGACGTGGAGACAAATCAGCAACCACCCAACTCTGGGAACGTCCACGCACGGCAAAAGGGAGAGAGGAGAGACAAGCACTGCTTGCTCATGCGATGCGACGTGAGGGACAATGCATGTGGCACAACGGTCCCACGCGACTCGATAAGCGTCGAGAGATAGTACGTGGCGTCCTTGGGCCCATGTTCGAACATGGCCCCATTTTCTGAACATCGCGGGTGGTTGCTAAAGTTACGGCATCCTACTATATTCAAACGGTTTTGGAACGTTCCACAGCGCCGTCGCCTCGAGCACAAGTCGGTCGCGGTGCTTCTTGAGCTCGCGATGCGCTGCATAGATCGCGTCAACGTCAATGCCATTGTCGGATGCGTTGACGTGGAGTCGCGGCTTGGTGGCTGCGCCCATGAGCAGCGTCACGGCGCCATCCGTGCCGAGACCATTCCTCGAAATGTCGAGCACGTGCAGCGTCGGGTGGGCACACAGCGCGGCCTCCAACGACGCCATGTGAACAGCTCCAATCTGGTTGTCCTGCACGTCCAAATACCGCAGCGCCGGCAGCTTGGGCAAGGCCGACACGACGGGGGAGAGCGACGTGAGCGTATTGCTGCCGAGGACGAGGCGCGTGAGGTACCGACCACAGCCCTCGTCTCGGCTGAACGCGCTCGTCAACGCCGACAGCCCGGCGTCCGATAGCTCGGCTTGTCGCACGACGAGCTCGGAGAGCAGCGTGAGGTGGCCGATCGCACTGGCGACGTCGCGCGCGATAGCGTCCGGAATGGCCATGGCTTCGATCTCTAGTGCCCGCAGTTGCAAAAGAGTTGGGAGCGCGGGTAGCAGCAGTGGCAGTGGGGCAAAACCACAGAGCACAAGGCGCGACAACGCTGCGTCTTCCAGCGTCGACGCGACAGTCGTCGCTTGGACGGCGTTGAGCTCCATGTCGTCGAGCCAGAGGCTGCGCCAGTGCGCGGGCAGTGGCGCACCGTCGAGGATCGTCGTCGTCGACGCCACCGATCGCCCGAGATGCACGCTGTCGATGGATGCAACGTCTCGCAACGCTGCGCGGAGCGGCGCCGGCAGTGCGACGAGACCGTCGATCCCTACGTGCACGCTCGGAATCTGATTGAAAGCGGTCGCTATGCTCGCCTCTGCGCTGACCGCGTCGATGTGAGGTATCCTTCTTGCGCGCGGCTCAAACAATGTGAGATGCAGAGAGCGCAGTGTCCCGTGCTTGCTTGCGAGCGCCGATGCGACGAGGCTGAGGCTCTCGAGCGGGACGCGCAAAGTGAGCGACTGGAGGTGCGTGCACGTGGCCAAACACGCGCCCAAGTCGGGGCGCGTCGTCGTGCGTGGCAGTGCGCGCGTCGATTTCAGCTCGAGACCAACGATCTGTGTGGTGTACGCGTCGACGGCGTTGGCGACGTGGTCGAGCGTCGCAAGGTTGGCGACATGCAGCTTGGGCGACTGCGCGACGATCGCACGGCCGAGCACGGAGCTTGGCGCGATACGCTGGAGCAGCGCCATGGACGGCACGAGGGGTAGCAGCGCAACGTAATGGCAGGTATCGTCGTCGTTGGTCGATGCGATGACGAGGCGAGGCCAGAGGTGTGCGCTTGGCGTCGTCGCCGCCAGCGCCACGAGACTGCAGAGGCTCGGCGACAGCGCGCGTGCTGGCTGTGCGCGCAGGTACAAGAGCAGCGTGTACGGGCAGAGAATGCAGCGCGCAATCGCTTCGATGATTTGGGGCGCGAAGAGCGTCGCAGGCGGGCGCTTGGCGAGCTTCGACGGGCCAGCCTCGTCGGTTGCACGCATCTTTCAAGCGTGGAGTCCGGATACTTCAATCCGGATACGAAAGATTCCCGCCACGAAGGGGCTCGACCAAGCGATCAAAGGATTGGCGCGGGCCGTCCGTGCGTTGGAAGGACGTGTACTGCGTCGTTGAGTCGTGAGCTCGCGCAGCAGCAGAGCGCTGCTTTCTTGTCGTTTCCATACAAATGCCGAGCCATATCGACTGTTGTGTGCGAGCCAACAGCCAGTTTCCCACCAAGCAAGACCCTGCGGAGAGCATGGGAACGGTATGTAGTGATGTGCGTACACCAGTGGTCTAAGCACAATAATGCAAGGAACCCGTACCGCTCGTGCGTAGGCACATCAGTCTACCTAGTTGTTCGATATTGCACTCTAGCGGACACACGTGTCGGACCACCCAAATGCGTCGGACCATCGAGATGGCTCAGCACTACCCGTACAACACGGTACTCGAGTTGGCATTCTAGTAGGTATGCGCGCTGCATTCATGGCCTGTGACATACGTTGTTGATGGACGGGTGTACGGGCCATTGCGGCACCGGATGATCCAAAATCCGATGTGGCGGTGATCTCGTCAAGCCTCAACAATATACTACTCATATTGAATGTTGACTTCCATGCGCCACGAGCAATAACAGCGTAGTAGGATAGCACTTACGTTGCATCGATATACTGCCACGCCAGAATGCCACGTATGGCCTAGAAAGTGCAATCTCACTCGGCAGTTTCAAAACGCCGCAGACAGGCGGCCGATGCTGCAGCGCCTCGCGAGCGTGGCCTGCGTCGTCGCGTCCGTCGCATTGAGCGCCTATGCCCTTGTTCTCTTTACGTCATACATGGAGAACGGTCTCTTCTGGCCCGGCTTGGTCACCGCCGACACGCTGTCGCTGGTCCTGACGATTCTCAACTATGAGTTTACGATCGCGGCGGCAACCAACGCGACGAGCCTCGCCGTCAACCTACTGCAGCCAAGTGTCGGCGTCGTCAACGTCGCCGACCGGCGGGGCGTCAACCCCACGGCACCGCGATTCCTCGTGTACCAAGCACTCACGTCCATTGAGAATGGGATTGACGGCTTGCGGCGTCTCGAGGCCGAGAATGTTCTCGCGATGCTGGCGCCGTACTGCTGGATGGACTTTGATCGGCGCTGGAGCTTTGCGCACACACCCAAGCGACTTAGTCGATGCGAGGCCACCCATACGACCAACGGCGCCGCGTATTTCGAAGCCGTCTTGCGCAACATTGATCTGCAGAGTTGGCTCCTTGCTAACGAGCCAACGTTTTTCTCGTGTCTCGGCAACGGCGTTGTCGAGGCCGGCGGCGGCGCATGGCTGGACGCCCTTCTCTCGCATACGATGCTCTCGCAAGCCGACGAAGCCCGCGTGTGGCGAGCTGCCGGTCTCGACTCGTTTGAACTCATGTACGGAAATCGTGTCCAGATCGGGCTCGCCAACCAAATCCAGATTGTGAATGCGCTCGGCGTCGTCTTTCCCTTTTACGCGGCGTCAATCGCGGCCACCAACCGAGGCGCGTCCTGGACGTCCTCCAACTTGTACCAGAGTCTGCGCCTCGACTGGAATGCAATGCGAGGCAACGAAAGTCTGATCTTGGGCAGCCGTAACTGGTACGGCAACGTCTCGGCCAGCACATTAGAGGCGTACGCAGTCGGCTTGCCGTTGACCCGCATCAACCAAGTGATTCATGACCGCGTCGGAGCGCTTGCCAACATTGACATGCGGTGGGTACCAGTCCCGACCGAGCTCGTCGACGCCGTCAGCGACGTGCACGGTCTCGTCGTGTCGGCGCTGCGCTCGGGCAATGCAACGATCGCGCGTGCCTATGCGTCCATCGTACCCCTCACCTTGGCCGTGGTACCGACGAAATGGCAGGACCCAGGCTACCTCTTTCATATCGGAAGCTTGATGTGTCAGTACGGGGTGCCCGTCCCTTTTGTGCAGCGCACGTTTGGCTTTGACGATTCGTGTGGGACCGCGCTGCCGTTCTCGGTCGCAACCCATCCGATCAAGCTCGCGTTCGCCTTGCGCATCTGGATGCACACCATGTCGCATCAAAGCAGCATGCGAGCCATTTGCGCGCAAGTGCCCAGCGATGAGCGCCGGTGCAACATGTTGCTGACCAACACGACGCGACTGCTGTCGGCGCTACCCTCATGGACCGTGGCGCCGTCGCTTCTACGCACCGTCATGGCGCTCAACACGACGAAAGCGCAGTTTCTATCGCGTCCCAACAGCACCGAAGTAGAGCTCGAGACCATCGCGCACTTTGGCGAAGGCTACGAGCTCTTTGCGTGGATGGTCATGTACGACTGGGCCATCGGTCTCCGCGAGGTCGTGACCTTCGAAGGCGACGTGTCCACGCTGCGCGTGTCATCCTACGCGTACGCCCCATTGGCCAACCCGACGAGTTCGCTGCAGTCGAGCGTCGGGACGTACCTCATGTCGGCATCGTGGATCGTCACCGTCGTGCTTGCGCTCGTTGCTGGGCTCAGCGTGGGCACCAAATACAGTTGGCTCTTTTCGCGCATCGCATCAGCCGTGTGGCTCAACCGCAGCGTCCTCTTCCTTCGAAGCGTGACGGCCAGCGTGTGCTTGGCCACATCGCCTGTCGTGACGTCGGTCGTCGGGCCGTTGCAGCACTTGGAGGCGCCGCCGCGAAGCCTCTTGACCTCGATGGTGCTGGCCAGCGAAGCGCTCTGGTCGACATATGTCGCCCACGACGTGCTGAGCCCGCTATTGCACTCGTCGTCCTATGTGCACCTCAACACAGTGCTCGCATGGCTGGTGCTCACGGTCATGGATGTGCTGGACCCTGTCTCGATGGCGGTCACGATTGAAAAAAACTGTGCGACAGTCAATATGGACTGGCAAGTCTACTGCGCCGCCGCCACCATCACGATTGGCTCGAGTACACGGGTCGGCGTGATGTACGCAGTTCAGAGCCTCGTGCTGCTGCTGACACTTCTTGTCTCGGCCGTCGCGTCGAAACGCTGTCTGGCTATCGACACGACGTCGTCTCTCTTGCTGCATACGTCGGTGCTGGCCTTTCTGCCGCCGTCAACAAGTCGTCCGGTAACAAACCTCGACCAAGGGACGCGCATCATGGCCGGCCTTTTTCCCCTCGGTGCGACCACCTTTCACCTGAGTCTATGGCGCCGCGTTCCTCTCTGGCCGAGTCTCGGGCTTTCGCCCGAGGTCTGTGTCGTTGGACCCTTCGATGACGCGGTGGTGTCACTTGACGTCCCTGTCGCGTCGTGGCGTGACCGCGGCCGGTACCAGTCGACCTTCCTCTGTCTTGGATTTCTCTATGTGCTGGCAACCTTGACAAGCAACGTCCTCTACTACTCGGTGGTCGCCAAGAACCTCAGCAACGACTATGGCTGGGCCGGCTTCAACAGCTCGGGGGCTCAAGCCTTTGTGGCCAATGTGTTCAATCGACAGCTCATGCTGACAACGCACGAACCACAATTTGTGCTCGATGATCCTGGCCATGGCGACTTGAGTCAGCTCTACAACACGTCGACGACGGTCATTCTATGGGCCGAGTCGAGTGCCCGTCGAGAGCTGTTTGCGAAATCGTCCTTGGACGTTGTTGTCGCGAACCTGCGGCGCATGCACCCGTGCCGACTCCCCTGGATGTTTACGCAGTACTGCTGGCTCGACTTGAACAAGAATTGGGAGATGGCGGTCACAGCGTCTCGCCAAGCGCGGTGTGCAACGAACATGATGTCCAATGGCGCCCTGTACCTCGAAACGGGTCTGCGAAACCTCAACAACTGGACGACGTGGGACACTTGCTGGGGCGATTCCTGGCAGATTGGCTTTGTAAAGCACTTGGAAACCTCCCGCGAAGGACAGACGTGGCTGGACAGCATTCAAAAAAGCAACACGCTCTCCATCGAGGACGAAGTACGTGTCTGGGAATCCCTTGGAATCTCGACCTTTGCGCTGCAGTGGCAAAACTACAAGACGCCAGGCATGGACGACAGCATTCTAATTCAAAGTGCACTGGGAATGACGTACCCACTCCAGCTCAGTCAATCGGTGGCGAGTGTTCACACAAGTCAGCAAACGTCATTTAAAATGTACTGGTCGCTGGCCAGCGATCTCTGGGCGATCGCCACCAACACCACTGGCATCACGGGTGCCAGTCTGCTGCGGGGAAGCTCCCTCTTTGCGTTTGCCAACATATCGACGACTTCCGTGCTCGTGCAAAATAGCACGCTGCAAGCACCGCTCTCCGCGGGGTTTTCCCTCCTTGCAAGCACGATCGGGCCGTTTGGCGCGATTGATTTGGTGTACGTCGCGCCACCGCCCCGTCTCTTGTCGTATGTCTCCAGCGTCGTCCGCAACCTCACGCACCTCTTGGTCACGAACTTGGACGCACAGCGCGCATTCCACGCGCTTTCCATGCCCGTGCGGTACGCACCAGTGCCGGCTTTGGTTTTTGCACTCGCGAACACGAGCTTCGTCGGCGGCAACATCTTGTGCGGCGACGACAGCAGTCCATGGAGTGTTCAGAATGGATTTTTTGTCGCGTTTAGTAGCACCAACATGTGTCACTCGACGTTCACCGACATGGTTCAACCGACCCCGCTCATGCCGCTTATTGCCTTGCTCTCGATGACGGCGTCGTCTCTAGACATTGACAGCATCTGCGCATTGGACATGCTGCAGCCAGCGACATGTCTGCGGGATCATACGAGCACACTGTCCTTTCTAGCGACCTACTTCAACGGCAATGCGACACCTTTTGGCTCGGAGGTCGACGCGGTGGCGGCCGACGTGAGAGCCACTGGAGTCGGGCTTGTACAGTTTCTTGTCACCTCGGGCGTGACGTCGCTGCGTCACTTTGCCCTTTTGGACCCAAGTGACCGCGCTTACATGTACTATGGATGGTGCTACCTCTTCAAGTGGGCACTTGGCGAGCGCGAAGTCATTTCGTTGGTCGGTGATCATGGACAAATGACGGTTCTCTCCGGCATGTCGCTGCCGCTGGCGATGGTACCAGACCCGAACGCGATACCGCTCAGCTTTGCACTGCTGACCCAGTACTGCGTCCAGTACATTTCAATCGTGCTCATGGCCATCAGCAGCCTCCTTGTGGTCTCCGCCTGTTACCATCGTGGGCGCATGGAAGGGCTGAACCTCCTCTGCGTCAACCGCATTGTTGGTATGGTCTGGCTCGGCCGCCCATTTGTGTTTTTGCGCAGTCTCTCGGCGATCTGGCTCCTCAACACGAGCCCTCTCACGCTCGTGCAAGCGGGGGTGGGCACCTACTTTACGGCGCCGCCATTAGCGTGGTTCAGCACGCTGCTCGCCACGTCCGAGATGACGTGGCTCGTCTACGTCCTCAACGATCTCTTCTCGTGTGGCACCAAAGAGTACACGTCGCAGTACGCCTCCAAGAGCTCCAATCTCACGTGGCTCGTGATTTTCCTCTGGACGCTGCAGTCACCGCAGCTCTACGCCGCAACGATAGCTCGGAGTTGCTTCTACGATGACATGGACGCTGGCGTCCACTGCGTCTCTGGCCGCATCGCGGTCGGGAGTCTTCGCCGCCTCGGTACGTCGGTTGGCCTCGTCCTGGCTTGCTTGGGCGGGAGCTACCTCGTTATGCGTTGGTACGAGCCCACGCCGCGAACACTGCTGGTTCAAACGCCGCTCTTGAACGCGCAGAGCTACTACCTGCTGCGTCTGCACCGGTGGCGCGTCGACGGGGTCCAGTACATTGACAAGACGTCGGCGATCATGGCCGGACTGCTTTGCACCACATATCGCGGCCAGCACGTCGTCTTGGACATCAAGTCGTGGCGCATCGTCGCAGTGCCCCTCACGGCAGCGCAGGCCCAAGATGGCCGTCTGCGGCACGCACTGCCACTCTATCGCGACGGCTAATGTAGTCAAGCGTATCGGCTAGGTCGCGCCCGTACGCACGGGTCTAATGCGATCAAGCATTGCGTGCATCGAAGAAGGTGTGTTGGTCCGAACGCGCGGCCGTCGCTACCCTGCGACGCGTCGGTCGACATCAACGGGATACAGTAGTGAATGAAAGAAAGTGACAGGATCAATCCAAAGCTTTCGCAATGCCAAACGGTTTTTATGCTACGACAAGTTGATTAAACTTTCAAGCGATACCGGTACGCCAAGTACTCGGCGAGCGCAACAAACCGCCGAGTATAGGCGCTGCTGAGGGCACCAAGGATATCGACACCAATCGAGTCGAGGTACACAAGGACGTCGGCCGAACTTTGGCGCAGGGCCGACGGCGCAATCGTCGGCGTCACCCGCACAACCTCGCAGAGATACCGCACGACCTCGAGGTGCTCTTGGATGACGGCGTCGTCCAGCGCAGCAGGCGAGCAGCCTTCGCTTCGGTGCGTATGCAAATAGGCCACGAGGTCGCAGTTGCCAGAGGCGGCGGCGATGTCCATGACGCGGGGTGACCATTGACCGAGTCCTTCTTCGTGGAGGTAGCGGACGACCTCCAAGTGCCCACGACGCGCCGCGCGCTCGGGCACGGTATCGAGTACGGGCGTGTGCATGACGCTGTGCAGATAGCGCACCACGTCGACGTGGCCGCGCTTGGCCGCATCGAACAGCGCGTAGGGCGAAGCCGTATGGTCGCAGTGCTCGTGCAAGAAGACGACGACGTCCAGATGCCCGTGGCCTGCAGCGCCATGCATCACGAGCTCGCCGCAGTCGTCGTACTGGTGGGTCTTGAGAAACTGGACGACCGCCAAGTGCCCGTTGGTTGCTGCCCTAATCATGGCTGCGTAGGAGCCCGCAAAGCGCCCAGCGTTGTGCAGCGACGTGACGAGATCCAGTCGACCAAACTCCGCGCACGTGTCCATGTACTCGTGGGTCCAGAGCTGAACCGGGTGCAATAGTTCAATGATAGCATCGTTGCCACCTTTGACGGCCGCGACGATGACGGATACGGGAAGCAAGTTGTCAGGGTGCGAAGCGCGCTCGTATGCGAGCAGTCGTTGACAGCAAGCAAGGTGACCGTACCGAGCGGCAAGCTCCAGCGCCTGGACCGACGAGGTACCCGTTGCCAAAATGTATTCGACCACGTCGTCATGGCCGTCCATCGCAGCCACCTCGAGCGAGTGTTTGAGGTCCATGTCGGGAAAGTGTGCGTGGACCAGCTGCAGTTTCTTGAGAGGCGATGTTGTGGCTGAGAGCTCATGCGACGTCACACGACCAATCCCGCGTTCGGCGAGGTATGTCGCGACGTCCTTGTGACCATGTCTCACGGCAATATCGTATGCGTCGTGCGGCCACAACACGGTGGTTTCATGCACGAGAAAGTGAACGGTTGGGAGGTAGCCGTCCGCAACGACGGTTGTGATGTACTGCTGCAATCCGTGCGGCCCGCGCTCTTCGTAGTTCTGTCGCACGGTCTCCACGTGCCTACTCCGAAGCGCCAATTGCGTCGAGAGACGCAAGTCGTCATTGTCTTCAAAGCGGTCGTACTGGCCGTAGTGCGACGCCACTTTGCGCAGCATCGCGGCCCATGACGTGGCGTCGCGACTGGTGCCCATGGCAGCCGCACGCAACGGGTGGTCGCCGGTTGCCGCCGCATGCAGCGCAACGCACGGAGCCAGCGGCGGGTAGAGTTGCATGAGGCCAATGGCGCCGTCGAGGCCATGACGCGCCAGCCACGGCGCGAACCGGTCGCCGAACGCTGCGACTTGCTCCGTGAGATTGGACGACGCAAAGATGAGCGGGTCGTCGCGGAAGCCGAGACTGTCGGGCCACCAGCCGTGCTGGTACGCAGTGATGAGGCGGAGGAGGACCGGGTTGCAGAGCGTCGCGTCCATCAAGCAAAGGCAATGTGGCCGAGTTTGCACTTGCTACTGCCGGCGGATTGTTCTTGGATGTGATTGGTCGAGCAGTGATCTTGGTGCCTTTGGTTTGGCCAAATGAATTCACCAAAGACGCATTTGCTCGTACCGTTAGCCGCTTCTTGACTACCACTAAGCTTATACTGAAAGTACCAGCAAGGCGCCCTTCTTCGACGCTTGTAGAGACCGGCGAATGTGTTTGTGACAAAATTCCCTCTTCTGTCTGCACTGCCGTACTACCGCACTAGAGATCGATGACATATCGTTTGGCTTCGTTTTGAGCTTCGTGTTTTCATTTTGAGCTTCGTGTTTTCACATGATACATTGAAGGACGGAGGCGCGATTGACGGGACGAGACGTATTGAGTCCGAGCGTTGAGTCGCCGAAAGCGTTCAGGCGCCAACCAGGATAAGGTGTCGTGGAGCAACTCGTGGTGCTACCTTGACGGACGCGCCTTTAGATACGTCAAGTACTCGGCGAGCGCAACAAACCGCCGAGTTAAGGCGCTGCGGAGGGCGCCCACGACATCGACACCAATCGAGTCGAGGTACAAGAGGACGGCGGGCGAGCTTCTTTGTAGCGTCAACGGAGAAACACACGTGCGACGCACCACCTCACACAGATAGCGCACGACCTCGAGATGACAGTGCTCCACAGCACCGTCCATCGCAGCGGCCGAGCAGCCTTCGCTTCGGTGCGTGTGCAGAAAGGCCACGAGGTCGCAGTTGCCAGAGGCGGCGGCGAAGTCCATGACGTGGGAGGTCCATTGACCGAGTCCTTCTTCGTGGAGGTAGCGGACGACCTCCAAGTGCCCACGACGCGCGGCCCATTGTGGCTGGGTATCAAGCACTGACGCATGCATGACGCTGTGCAGGTACCGCACAACAGCGACGTGACCGCGTGCGCACGCCCACAACAGCGCAAGGCGAAATTCCTCTTTAGTGCAGTGCTCATGCAAGAAGACGACGACGTCCAGATGCCCGTGGCCTGCAGCGCCATGCATCACGAGCTCGCCGCAGTCGTCGTACTGGTGGGTCTTGAGAAACTGGACGACCGCCAAGTGCCCGTTGGTTGCTGCCCTAATCATGGCTGCGTAGGAGCCCGCAAAGTGCCCGGCGTTGTGCAGCGACGTGACAAGATCCAGTCGACCAAACTCCGCGCACGTGTCCATTTACTCGTGGGTCCAGAGCTGGACCGGATGCAATAGTTCAATGATGGCATAGTTGCCACCTTTGACGGCGGCGACGATGACGGATACGGGAAGCAAGTTGTCGGGGTGCGAAGCGCGCTCGCGTGCGAGCAGTCGTTGACAACAATCAAGATGGCCGCGCCACGCGGCCAGCTCCAGCGCTTCGACTGACGAGATCCCATTGGCCAAAATGTATTCGACGACGTCGTCATGGCCGCGCGTCGCGGCCAACTCGAGCGAGTGTTCGAGGTTCATGTCGGGAAAGTGTGCATGAAATAGCTGGAGTCTCTCGAGAGGCGATTTCGTGGCCGAGAGTTCGAGGGACGTCACACGACCAATCCCGCGTTCTGCGAGGTATGTCGCGACGTCCTTGCGGTCAAAACCCGTAGCAATATCGTAGGCGTCGTGTGGCCACAGCACGGAGGTTTTTTCCACGCCCGGACGATGGCCAAGATCGGGATCACTCAAGCCCAGCACGTCCACGCCTTGATGCTCGCCGCCGCCCCGACGGAGACGCTCGCGACAAGAACTCAACGCCTCATCCACGCGGTGACGACAAAGTGCCGCGGCCGCGACCTCGGCCCACACGCGATACCGAACGACAAGTGGCTCGGCTGGCTCGCTACGACGGTCGACGCCTTCACGTGCGGCCCTGTGCCAAGCCCGACTCCCAAGCCGCCATGGCTGGTTCGACTCCACAAGGTCACCAAGCCGTTGACCCAGACGACGCCCGCCGAAGCCCGCCGAC